CCTCAGTTTTCTTATCTAGAAATTGGGGATAATAATATTACCTCCCCAGGGTTGTGTCATGATTAAATGTGATCACCTATGTAATGCATTTAACACAGTGTGAAGATAAAAAACATTCACTAAATGTTAGCGGCTACACTCCAGCCACAAGGCATTAACTGCTATCTCCCAAATGCATGCTATTTTGTTCCACTTCCATGAGTCAGCACATGCTGACATGTCTGCTTAGTATGCCTTTCTCCCACGGCTTCACCTAGCTAACTCTTGGTTGTCCTTCAAGACTGAAGTCCTGGTGGAACTGGCTCTGATCCACCCTTCCTCCAGTCTGGAGCCCTCCTCTGGCTCCCAGGGCACCCTATGCTTGCCTCCACGACGTCAGAAGCCCTTGCAGGGTTTTCGGTGGAGGAGTGACCTGATCTGGCTACTATATGACAGGCGCCATTCTAGGTTCCCCCGAGTCAAGATAAGAATAAAAAGAACACTTAGCTCATAGGTTACTGAGAGGATTACGAGAGATAAAGTGTGCCAAGCACTTAAGATAGTGCCTGGCATATGGCAAACACTCAGTGAATGCTATTATTATCTATCTATATTGAGGACATTCCCTCACATTCATTGATATCTGTGGCCTTTGGCTCATAGTCTTCCTCTCTAAACACAAATCCCACTACAATCCTCCGTGATGACCCCTCTAACATGCTAGCCTCTCTCCTGGACCTCAACTCTGGTAGCTTTCACCTCCACCCTGCTCTAGACACACCATGACAACACCTCGACCTTGACATTGTTGTTGGATTATTGGAGTTTTGCAGACTGACTAGATTGTGTATAACCATAGGAATAAATTAGTATATAGAAAGTCCAGATGGGATTTTCGATTAGCTTGAGAGGAGAGTGTGCTCTTCTGTCCCCACTCCAAACAAGAACAAGTCTCTTCTGTATGATTGGGTCCCTGGAAGATAAAGGCAGAGAAGGGAAATGGAGGGCTGGCTGAGCCCCTTGCGTTTTTCAGGCACAAGATAAGGGCAGGCATCTTTATGACTGCTCAAAGAGGGGAAATGACAGTCGCAGTCTTTGTGGCAGCAAGGCGGGAGTGGAGTTTAGGGATCAAGATATCGGAGCAGAAGTCAGGAGACTGAGGGGCAGGTGCAGCCGATAGATGCTGTTCAAGATGAGTGATCTTCACAAAGGCTGTTCTCTGATAATGAATTAAGAGTAATCCTGTGCAGATGTGTACCCCTTCCCACCAGAAGAAGGTACATAAAACTGAATGCTCGGAGGGCAAGGTGTGGGAGTCAGTGCTCACCTCTCCTTCCTTCACTCAAAACAATTCTGCCTTTTATCTATTTTATTTATTTGGGCTTTCACTTATAACTGCTTTTGCAAAAAGTGTTCTAGTGCTAAACCTTTGCTGTTCCCCTCAGCAGATAACTACACATTTTACTTTTCATACACTCCAGCTGCCATTGAGGTGTGGTGACCACCCTTGAAATTCTTCTCTGTCTACATCTCACGCCCTTTAGCCTCAACCAAAAACAATTACAACAAAACATCATTGTACAGATAAGAGTAACCTCTTCAGGGATTGTGTTTTTCTAACTTCACACCTCTATGTGTCCCTGTATATAAAACCTAGACACCATACCCCAGATATATCTGTCTTTGCTGTTCACACCTCCAACCAACAATTCATCCAACAAGTATTTACCAAGGGTCTGACATGTTTATGAAATTTTTATTCACTCACTCAACAAATATCTTCTGAGTACCTACACTGTGCCCACTGTTCTATACACTTGGAATAGATAATGAACGAAATAAAGATCCCTGTCCTCTTGGAGCGTATATTCTAGCAGGTGTGGGAGGGAGGGGATATACAATAAATAAACGTAATAAATAAGAGAACCATATAGTATGTTAGAAAGTAATACAGGCCATGCAAAAAGGAAAAAGGAGAGCAGGGAAGGAAGATTGGGAGTGCTAGGAGAAGTTGTAATTTTGAATGTGGTGGTGATGGTAGGCCTTATTGAGAAGGTGACAATTAAGCAAAGACGTTGAAGGAGGTGAAGGACAAGCCATGGAGATATCTGGGAGAAGTGCTCCAGGCAGAGTGAACAGCAAGTGCAAAGGCCCTGAGGCAGGAAAGCTAAAGGAACAAGGAGAAAGAGTATTAGCAGATGAGGACATCAAGGTAAGAAGGATCCTGATTGTGTAGGGCTTTTTTATTAGTTATCTATTGCTGGGTAACAAATTCCCCTAAAATTTAGCTATTTAAAACAACAATACACAGGAATTCAAGAGTGGCTTGGCTGGGTGGTTCTGGCTCTGGATCTTAAGAGGTTACAGTTATCTGAAATCTGGGCCTGAAGAATCCTCTTCCAAGGTGGCTCACTCACATGGTTGACAAGTTGGTGTTGGCAGTGGGTGGTATAGGAGGAGATATGGAGAAGGGGAGGACTTAGTTTTTCCCTGTGTGGGCCTCTCTACATGCTGTTTGAGTATCCTCATGACTTGACAGCTGGCTGACCCCAGAGCAGCCAATCCAAGAGAGAGCAAGGCAGAAACCACAATGCCTTTTATGACCTAGCCTTTTAATTCACATGCCATCACTTCCACTGTATTCTATTGGTTACACAGGTCAGCACTGGTTCATTGTAGAAGAGAACTATCCAAGGACACGAAGAGCAAGAGGTAACGATCACTGGAGAGCATCTTGATGGCTGGCTACAACAGCCTTTGTGGGCCCTTATAAATCTGTTGCTTTCACTTTGAGTGAAATGGGGAGCCCTTGAAGGGATTTGAGCAGATCAATGACAATGATCTGACTTATTAGGATAACTCTGGCTGCTGTGCGAATAGACTGGAGAGGGGCAAGGATGTAAGCTGGGAGACCAGTGAGGAAGCTTCTACGTCCAAGAGAGAGATGGACTAGGGCCATAGTGGTGTTGATGAGAATTGGTGATATTCTGAATGTATTCTGAAAATTGAGATGACAGGATTTGCTGATGGATTGGATGTGGGAAAGGAGAGAGGGGAATTAAAGATGACTCCAAGCGTTTTGGAGGAATTACAAAAATGAGTTAGACATAGATCTTGCTATAAATGAACTTACAACATAGACGAGATAAGGCATATACACAAGTAGCTATACTCCATGGCAGAAAATACTGTGCTCCGTGACACAGGCACAAATTCAAGTGCCAAATAAGATGGAAAAGTTTTGGAGATGGATGGTGAATGTACATAATGCCACTGAACTGTACACTTCAAAATGGTTAAAACAGCAAATTTTGTGATATACATTTAACCACAATTTTTAAAAGATGTGAACAAAACCGAAAGAAAAAATCAAGTGTGAAGAGAGTTCAGAGGAGGAAGAAGAGATGACCTTTGGCTGAGGGAAAGCTTTGAAAAGGGGCAGTTGCTTCACCTCACAGAGTGAGCAGTTTGAAGAAATTAGTGGAAGGCAGGAAAGCTGGGGATGGGCAGGGCACAGTGAGTAGTTCCACTTTGTTAGAAGATAGGTAGGGGGCCCAAGGGGAGAGTAAACAAGAAGTCAAGTAGTTTTAACATTATTCTGGAGGCAGTGTTGAAGGGTTAACTCAGATGGACCTCTGAAGGTTGGACTGCCGGGGACCGGTCTAGGGATAGAGAGGCTGGTTAGGAGACTGGGTAATGGTCAGATCCACCTGTAATCTGACAGATCTAGATTTGAATCACTGTTCCAGCTCCCACACATACTAGGGCTGCGACTTTGGGCAAGCCACCTAAACTCTCTAAACCTCAGTGTCTTCATCTGTAAAATGGGGATAATGATAGTTACATATTTTATAAGATTGCTGTGAGAATTAAATGAGGTAAATATTTGCAGTTATTATTATTGCAATAAGTCATATGTGAGATTCCCAGAGCTGTGACAATAGGAGAGGATCAGAGGGGATAATATCTTAGTGAAAGTCTAAGAACCAAAATGAAGTCTTTCCTCTCCTTCCAAGTTCCCTTTTCATGAAGGGCAGCATCATTTGAGGATGCAGGTGATACGATTCTCCCCTTGAAATGAAACATTCTCATTCAGAAACTCTCATCTCACTACACTAGCCTGTAAGGGAGCCCAAGTTTCTAAAACAAAATTCATCTGACAATCCTACAGCATATTTGAAATAAATCCAGGATGTGATCAGCATTGTATGTACACAGATTTCCTTTGTTTCCTTTCTTTCTGCTTTCCTTCTTCCTTATTCATTTTCCCTTCATCTCCCAATCCGATTTTGCCCCTACTGAGCGTCTTCCTTTCTTTTTCCTTTCATCCTTCTCTCCTTGGAAGTGGATCATATTGTCATCTCAGTTCCCCGTTTACTAGCTGGGCGCTATTGGGGTAGGTATCCTCTCTGGGCTTCAGTTTCCACTGTAAAATGGGTTTAATAAGAGAATGCCTACCTCACAGAGTTGTCAAAATTACAACAAATAACACGTTATATGCCTACCACAGCGCCTGGTCCATAGCAAGAATTCAATATGTTCGCTCTCTTTTTCTTTTCATCCTTTTACCTCTAGCATGCCCCTACTCATCAACCCCAGGGCCCAGCAGGTAGAAACCGTGGGAAAAAACGCCTCGAGCCTGAAGGAGGAAACGCGTGAGCTGTAGGCGGGGACTGCGAGGTGCCCACTGCGCCTGCGCGCCCGCTCCGTCAGGTTCTGGTTGCCAGCTGGGGGGTCGGGCGGGGGTGGGGGGCTTGGTTTGTCCTGGCTGCCCCCCCTCCGGCCCGGGGAAGTGGCAGGACCTCGGCGGCGCCCTGGGCGGGCTTCGCGCTCATCGAGGGACGCGCGGGCCCGGAGGGTAAGCTGGAAAATGGCGGAGGGGGAGGGAGGGGCTTTGCAGGGCGGGAGGCTGGCCTCCTGGCGGGCGCAGTGGGAATGAAACGGCGGGGGCCCAGTCGCGCGGCCGGGGCCGGGAGACGGACGGACGGCGCGCGGGGGCTCTTCGAGGCCCTGCCGCGACCGCGCTTCGGGCGCCCTGCCTCGGGGCTCCTCCGGGGAGTGGCCAGCTGTTGGGTGCGAGTGAGGGGGACGACGCGACTTCCGTTTCCCTCTAGGCTGGGGCCCGGCCGCCGACGGGAGTTGGCGTTTCCAGATTGGGACTTGGGCCGCCCCTCTTCCAGGACCCTCCCCTCGGGACCGCGAAGGGCGCCGCGGGCGATCCGGACCGGCTCTCCGGGCGCAGTGGGTACTGCCCGTGCGGGCTTCCTCCGCCCCCCTTCCTCCTCCCTCCCCTCGGGCCCCGCGGTGCGAGGGAGGGCGAGGAGGCTGCCCCTGCCCGGCGGGGCTGGCCCGACCGGGGCACCTTGCCCAGGTTCCGGGGACTGCTGAAGGCAGGCGTGGGTGGGTGGCTTCAGGCCGGCCGGGTGCCTCCCTAAACCCGTGACCCCTAAGGTAAACCGAGTCAAAGAACTTTTTTTTAGTGATCAAAGGGGCCGCCCTCTCCCCACTCCCCATCTGATGCCTGTGGCCCGTACGGGGCTGGGTGGAGTGTGTCTGGCGAGGGCGTGTGAAGCCGAAAGAATAGGAGCCAGAGAGCTTCCGGAAGAGGAAATTAGCTAGTATCTAATTCTTTTCAAGCTTTGCTGCCCTAGTCACCTCCCCAGCATATTCTGTGAGTAAAACAAAATTCAATCTAACTTTCAGTTTCATTATTTGAACTCCATAATGCACTTAATTGTATTCTTTTCGAAGGAGGGGAAGTAGTTATTGCTGAAACTAAGCAACAGTCTTCTCCCCCTCCAAAAAAAGAAAAACATCAATCAAAGCTTTGTAAAAACCTATCAGATTTTAATAATCTACTACTTTGCTTTCAAATATAATTGTGTCACTAGTTCTGTCACAACTATGCCTTGGTAGTTAATGACGCATAGAAATTTACTCTTGTAAGACTGGAGGTTGCTATAGTGTGTGTTTCTTCTCTTTTTTTTTTACTTAACATTTGTTACAATCAGTTCAAGAGAGCACTATTACAGACGGCCATCTTAGAATTACAACATTTTAGAGTTGGAGGGGATGTTAGTCCAACTCTCTTATTTTACAAAAGCAGAAACTAAGGCACAGGAAGATTTCATGGCTGGCCTAAAGCTACTCGACTATTTAGATTAGAACCCGGGTGTCTGGCTCCTTGCTCACCACTCTCTGCGAAACTGGTCTACATAGCCTCCAAACAAGAAAATTAAATGTATTCAGCTCAACGCACATTTCTGAAGCCTATGCCACTTTGTGCCATACAACTGCGCTACTACTCTCAATATATTTAACATGCTTATGAAGCCAGTGCCTGAAATATTTTTCCCTATCATTCAAGAAGTGGCAACAGTTCAGGTTAAAAAGATTTATCCACATGCACACATGTATACAGTACTTGTATATGCTCAGATAATTTCTCGAAGGATACATGAGAAAACTGTTAACAGTGGTTACTTATAGGGGCTAGAGAGAGAGGTAGGAGACTTTTTACTTTGCACTTCACATGTGGCCTAATGTACTGTTTGAATTTCTTACCATAAAGTATTGGTTTTATAATTAAAAACAAGTTGTAAAGTTCACACACATATGTATATCAATGTAAATAAGTATATGTCAATGGTATGTGTCTATGTATTTATATACATATATGTATTTATGAATGAGTAGTGGTTTGTGTTGTGAAATTCAGTGTGGTTCATGTCAGCCCAGCTGGCAAAGCAGGCCTGATTATTGGCTGCTCACATTTCTTCTTTGGTTTTCTCCTATTGGTCCTAATGGAAGATGGTAAAAATAATATATGTTACTAGTCTTTACATATTTTTAGAAAATGTGCTAAGCTTTTGATTATCGAACAATGTAGCAAACTGTAACATTCAGCATATCAAATTGGACACAATAAAAACTGAATGTAGAATCTTTGTGGATAAGAATCATTTTAAAAAATTAAGGCTGGAAAGATCCCTGGTGATTAGTAGTTCAGCTCTTTTGTTTTTATTAAGTTAATTAGGACTCAAAGAAAAAAAAATGAATTGTACAAGATTATATATCTGATTATTAGCAGAGCTTGGACTAGGGTCAAGGTGCTAGTCCAGTGCCCCTTGTACTGTAATTTGCTCCTTGTACACCTGTAATTTTATTGCTTTCTCGTGCATTTGATGACTCCAACTAGGTGGACAAAGTAATGCTGACTAAAGGTTAGTCAGGCCCATTTCAGTAGATAAGAATTACTGTAATTAATGTACTAGTTAATTTGTATAGTGCTTGAAATATTTTAGTAATGTAAATGTTCCCTTTACATTTGGTTGCAAACGTTAATTTATTTAGTAAATCCTTTGTTTATTTTATAAATGCTTGGAGACCCCAAATATGAAATAATGATATTTCACTGTTTTTGTTTGGTCTCATATTTCAGTCTGGTAGCTAGTGCTAACAGGAGAAAAAGGCTATTATTTAGTATTTTTAAAAAACATTTATTGAGCACCTACTATATGCCAGCCATTGTACTATGTGGTAAGGTTCCAAAGATGAATATGGCAAAATAGATGCCCTTGTTCTTTTGAGGCTGGGAGATTATCGTGAGCTATCTGTTCTCAAGCTTTATCTCTGTGGTCTAATCTGGTAATAGTATTATAAAATGTAATCTGTAGCACTGTTTAAGGTCATTGTTGGAGTAGATTTGAGGAGACAAAAACAGTAATGGTAAATAAGAAGTTGATATTGAATTGAACAAATATTATTTTTGTATCTTAGAGGTCATATGGTACAGTGGAAAGAGCCCTGGATTGGATGCCTGGGTTCTTGTCTTGGCTTTTTTTCTGTTTAGCTGTGGGATTGTGAGCAAGTCAATAAACCTTTCAGTGCATCTATATTTCTTTTTCATAACTTTTTTGATATATTTATTCCATTTAATTGAAAACATAAAAGAATATTTGGAATATTATATATTATAAAAGAAATATGTTTATTATAGAAAATTTATGAAATGCAGAATAGTATAAAGAGAATAAGTATCACCCACATTCTTTTATATTTACTTTTTTTATTTAAGATCATGTTTTATATAGATTTAATCCTTTTAAATCCTTTTAATCCTTATATAGTTTTAATCCCTTTTGTCTCGTTTGACATTCTGTATTAAACATTTCCTATGTCATGAAAAGTCTTTCAAAATATAGTTTTTGTTTATCTGGCATATTATTCTATGCCCCAGTTCCTTCATCTGTAGAGTACTAGGTTTGAGCTAGTTGATTCCAAAGATTCAAAAACCCATTATAATAGTTTTTTTTAAAACTGATTATCTCAGATTTTATCAAGGAAAAAAATCTCATATAACAATCCCAAATCTGTTTGGAATAAATATTTCAAATAGAGGGACAAGAAATCAAGACACGGTGGAGACACAAACCTTAATAATTTATGGATTATACTTTCATTTCTTTTAAAATTTCACGTAAGTAGTTGAATTTTAATTTGTTGGATGTGCAAGTGATATACGTATCATTACTGCGTTAAGAGCTGACCTATTTAGTTTTATTTTGTAGGGTGGATATAGAAGAAGTTGAAGAGGGAGAAACCAGGCTTCTGAGTTTGATATTCTGAGATATAGCACAGAGGAGAGAGAATTTGTGGAGGCTCTCAAGGGTTTAATAACTATCCCAAGGTCTGTATAGATGTTAAGTTGTTAAGTTGGAGAGGTAGTTTTTTTTTTGTTTTTTTTTTTTTTTAGCTTTTTGTTAGAGATACATACTGAAGTATTTACAGATGAAATGATACAATGATAACTGGGATTTACTTTATTTTTTTTTCCCCCAAAGCCCCAGTAGATAGTTGTATGTCATAGTTGCACAGCCTTCTAGTTGCTGTATGTGGGACGCAGCCTCAGCATGGCCGGAGAAGTGGTGTGTCGGTGCGCGCCCGGGATCCGAACCCGGGCCGCCAGCAGCGGAGCACGTGCACCCAACTGCTAAGCCACGGGGCCGGCCCGGAGAGGTGGTTTTTGAGTCCCGATTTCTCCGATTCCAGTACTCATGTCTTTCTTCCATTGCATGCCATACCTCAAAAGATGACAATCTCGTACACACATTTCTCGATGGTATTGCTTTGATCAAAATTGACCAACATGGTATCTTTGAATAAATTGAGGAGCTAAGGTGAGAAACGTGGAGATAGCACTTAGGAATGGTTTTTGGGCTGGGATAAGCCAACTGCCACACCTTGAGTGCCTTCTACTGTGAGCAGAGCTCTGACATCAGTGTATTGACAGTGGCTGGCATGTAGTAAGTAGGTGCTTGGTAAAAAATTGTTGACTGAATGCCTCTGCTTGTTACAAGGAAATGTATTAGATGAAAAAGGAAAAATTAAAACTTCCAAGGCCTTCCAGATAATCCAAAAGAAAGGCCTTTCTGTGTTCTGAGAAATTAAGCAAAGCAATTGTTGATTAGTTACTGTTTCTACCGTAAGAGTTTGAGGCCAAACTTAAGAGTTATATGTTTTATCTGCTCTGTGTATACTTAATAGTAGGTTGTCCTTTGTGTGATAAAAGCATATTTATGTTCATTTTTTAGGACTCAGCATGGGCTTTTATTTATTATTTTTAATTATGGTATAGTTGTAGCTCTGCTATTTGATACATTTCGGGATTTGATTTTGGCATGATTGGTACCCAGTCTTTGCTAAGGATACATGTGATTCACTTATGATCTGCTTTTATAATGTATTTTCAAGGATATTGGTCATGGTGAAAAGTGAGGTTTGCCTGTATAGACTGGGCATAGCTTGAATTCAGATGGTCAGACAGAGGTTAAACTGAGTAAGTTAAGGCTGATTTCCTAAACTGGGCAAAACTGGTGCCACTGTGCATTCCCTGGCATTTCTATAAATACTTATATATGGTTTGAACTTTTATACTTATCCCTGTAATAATTTTGTTGACCTCAAAACACAGGCCTCCCAGCATCTTTTGCTATGCAATTTACCTTTCTATGGCTCCAGCTAATTTTTCAAGCCTTGAAAAGGCAATGAGCCTAACATTTTCTGCTCTCTCACTGGACTACCCCTTCTGGTAATCATCCTTATAGTAATATCCTTAGACCTATATTGGTCATAATCGCTGGGTTTGATCTTTGACTGTCATTTACTGGCCATATGATCTTTGATGAGTAACAAGCAGTCAGAAAACCACAGTTTCCCCATATTTCAAATAGAGGCTATGATATG